GAGAGAGACAACCTACTGGAACAAATGACAGTGAGTATTGTATAGACTAAGCTGATGACCTCTGAGAGAGACAATCAGTTTTCTTTATTTTTCGAATATAATTCTTTCAGAAATGTGTTTGAAAAAGTTTCCCAAAATTCTGAATTTGCGATAAACCATGAAGTGCTTAGATTTAATGGCCGGGGTTTGATTACTCGATTGGATGTGAAAAGCTATGGGGTCACCTGCCTGACCGCGTGGGTTTTCTCCGGGTACTCCGTTTTCCTCCCACACTAAGACCCCCTGCGCGCTAACATCCGAGCCAACAAGAATGATTATTATAAGTTTAAATAAATTGTATCATAATAGTAGTAAAATAAACAAAGAATATATATGTACATAATTATATTTAAGTTAGTGATTAACATTAGCAAAATATCTCTATAGAAGCTGATAAATACATAATATGAACATATCTCCATTTCTAGGCCTTGCAGCTACAGTTAGCCACAGCAGAGACTGCTGCCCATGTGGGTACCAGCGAACATACTGTAGTTCCTGTGGCAGCTCCTGCCCCTCTGCAGTCAAGTCATGGACAGGTAAATTTACAGTGATATATTACATTGTGATGCTTATCTAAACCCAAGCACTACAGGGACTATGATTTTCTTCACAAATAGACCAGTTTTAGAATCACACTTGTTCAATTCACTAAAAACTGTATACCCGGTATACTGTACTAGAATTTTGTTTAGTATTTGAGTATTTTACTGGTTTCCAGATTATACATGTACAGAATTTAGTTTAGGAATGTTACACAAAATAGATCTCATTGTGCTCTTACCTAAGTGTCTTCAACAACACAAATCTTAGGCCAATATGATAATGATATGGTTACTATATATTGATGTTCATCAAAAATGCCTGTCTGTATTTTAGCTACTTAAGAATCTTAAGAAAAGGAAAAGGATTGTTTTGGTGGTGTTGTAACTAGTTTGACAACGTAACAATTCTCTGTGATTAACACTCCAGTATATTTTTTTGGAAGGTAATGAATAATCATACCTGCATTATAGTAAGTAGATACTAATAGTTGCACACAAATCTCTGAGGGATTGGCATGAACTAAACTGCAATAAATATGGGTGGGCTTATTACCAGGCATGGGCCTATTGCCAGATACATATCATAACACCTGTATCCACCCTGCATTTGATGATACTGTTTGTAGGGTATTAACTTCCAGGAGTGTTATGGCTCAAGTTGATTAAAATCTGAATCCTTAATTGAAAATTCCTAACTATATTCTTCAGGTTGGTAAGTATGAATAGTAGAAAGATTATGTATCACACCAGTAAGTGTTTATGTGTGACATTGTGACGATTCGGTGACTAGTACAATATGTACCCTGTCACCTTCATCAGACAAATGACCAGTGAAACGTATGTTTACAAAGGTGTAAAATGTATACGAGTTGGCAATACATATATATATATATAATCAAAGTTCATTCATACACGCTATAAGCTTCACTGGTCATTTGTCTGATGGAGGTGACAGGGTACATATTGTACTAATCACCAAATCGTCACACATAAACACTTCCTGGTTGTGATATATAACCTTTATACTACCCTTAATGGAGTAGGTGATAATAGCTATACAAAGTTAACTTTTAGAAGTACACTTTGTAGGGTTGATCATTACCTCTATGGACCTGGGTAGGTGGTAATGATTGTTAAATTCTAATGACTTACAGGAGTGTACAGTGTCCGGCCATGCTGAGCTGGTAGGTGGTAATGATTGTTAAATTCCAATGACTTACAGGAGTGTACAGTGTCTGGCCATGCTGAGCTGGTAGGTGGTAATGATTGTTAAATTCTAATGACTTACAGGAATGTACAGTGTCCGGCCATGCTGGGCTGGTAGGTGGTAATGATTGTTAAATTCTAATGACTTACAGGAGTGTACAGTGTCCGGCCATGCTGAGCTGGTAGGTGGTAATGATTGTTAAATTCTAATGGCTTACAGGAGTGTACAGTGTCCGGCCATGCTGAGCTGGTAGAACAGTTACAGATAAAGACAGAGGAGATAGCAGAGAAGGACATGAAGATACAGGAACAGGAGCAGCGTATTTCTGACAAGATACAGGTCAGGACCAGGAATATTTAAAAAACAAAAAAATGTTTTTCGAAATGGATTTGCTTGCAGAAACGCATAAATAAATGGTGGTATAGAAGAGGATTTATTATGACAAACTTCCTACTTTAAACAGTCTTGAGAAATCAAAATAGTGTATGTCTACACAAGGGAGAATTTCTTTGACTGTTAACAAATAAAGTTGAATTTTCATTATTTATATATAATTGTATATAACACTGCTAATATATAGTTGACTGATAAGGTCGCATATTAGTTGACCTCTAAGAGATTTACAAGACTTTATATTTGCAATTTGTCCTATCGTGGATTTACTAATTTATATATTTATTTGTTGACCTTTAGGAGATTGAAAAAGTGAAAGATGAGATGAAGCACATGAGGAAGGACATGTTGAAGATGGCCAAACAGCACAGCAAGCTTCAGCTGAAACTCAAAGATCTGGTGGAGTTTGCGAAAACAAAGAAGCTTCTGGCAGCTGTAGCGAGATATGTGAGTTTGACCCTCAATCACTTGCGGTATGACCTATCATGTACTGTAGGAAACATAAAATTAAACTTCAGAAGCTGTGCTGAATTTTACTGATTATAAACTCATGTTCAGCCCATCTACTTGTTAACCAGATGCTACAGTTAAGGGTCATTTCATGGATTGTATCCCGATTTACTTCCATCCAAGGGGGATAACCTTGATTCTATTTTTAGCTTCCTGTCTGTCAATATTGATATTTTTTTATTCTGTGCTCTTTATAGATATAAAATATTTTGCCATTTGAAATTTAATCTTTTGATCATATCAAATTTAAATAAATGGAAAACTTTGTATATTAAAAGTCAGTGAGCATTAAATGGATTCATAATAAAACATGGTTCTGCAAGTTATCAAAACACAACTTTATTAACATACAATTTTAATTGAAGGTACATGAGATCCATGGCGAGGTTCCTGATGCAGCTAATGGAGTGGTTACCAAACTAACCCTTGTCACTGCTGATGTAGCTACAGACCGCATGCCATACGACCAGAGCCAGAAGGCTGTAGATGCATGGGAGGAAAAATACAAGAAGAAGAATGGAAAAGCGCCTGGTGAAAAAGACAGGTAATATAGCAACTAATGAATTTTCTAATAATAACTTGTCTTACAAGACTCAGTGTAATCTAAATCCTGACTGGTATACATGTGTATATAATCTTGACACTACACTTGGATTCTATGAAAATGAGAACTATCATTAAATCACTTTTTCCTGAAAGATATGTTTATCAATGGACTGAATAATTTCTCAGGGATGCCGAGGGGAAAAAGGTTTATGCTGCTATGGAGGAGAAAAAGGCAGCTCTAGATGATTCCAAGATAAACATGGAAGCCCTTAAGATCATGAAAACAGGAGACTATGTCGCTCCAATATCTCGCCAAGCTTCCTCAGTACAGGACATCAAAGGTAAGAGATAGCACTCCAGTAATTAGAATCTATATTGTGACACTGTCCTATTCTATAAGTAATCTTCTGAATACAGTTAAGTTTTAATATTTGCAGCTATTCATCAATATACTGTTATACAAATTATGTTTGCCTCTGTAAATTTCTATATGTATAGCTCGAACAAAAATTTGACACTTAAACAACAATAACTATGAAAATGACCAGATGTCATTGAACTTTATACACTACATGTCAGTACTTAGGATGTAAATAAAACATTACATTTTGTACCGGATTCAGTGGTGGTGTTGCTCATTATTTGTATTTTTATTTATACACTACAGTCAAACTTCAATAAATAAAACTTGGAAGATTCAAATTTCTTGATGTGTCAAACTTTCGGCAAAGTTCGGATTTCCCCCTTATATTACACTATAAAAGTTCAATTCATGAATCATACTTTCATGAGTCAAATTTCTCACTGTTTTGAAGTATAAACAAGACCTGTTCTCTAAGAAAACACTTGAAGTTACAACTGATAAATCGAAGTCAAAAACTTACCTGTACGAGAACAATGAAATGTTCTGCGGTCACTTTAGCACCTTCACGGACATGTTTTGGTATCCAGAGAAAAAGAACTGGTGACCATGTGTGCATAACCTCGTATCTTAATAATACAATAATAGACAAGGCACTGACTTGATGTTTTCCTGTTCAGTATTTCAGGTTTTCATTTTCAAATTCATTCAAATTTTCATAAATCATGCTGCTGAAAATTGAAGCTAGACAATACATGAATATAGTTTCATTTTAAATGATATTTATTGTAAGAGGTAAAGATTTAAATGGACATGAATATGAGCACAGTAGAATGCTACATAGTGGTTCTATAATGCAGTCCACATATTCTGAATTCCTGCCAAGAAATCGTCAATAGGAAAGTCGCAGCAGAAATGTAGTGAATTTGGTCCAGACATACCACTGCAAATGCTTGACCCAACAAAACTCAGATAACTATACAGTGTTTCTCCAATGGTTCTTCAACAGAGGAGGGAGCTATGGTGGAACGGATTGAGCACCAAATGTCGGCAATGGACAACAAAGTGTCTGAACTGGAGACAGAGAATGACGATCTGAAGAAAGAGAGGAGTCAAATGGCCGCCAAGTTGATGGTGAGGTTTCAATGCTGGAATGATAAAAAGTATCAGGGCTTGTAGAAATTAATGTAGATTCCATATACAAAATCAGTTTTAGAGATGCAGAAGTTTATGTCGAGTTTGATTGGTGCTTGAATAACTTAATATGAAAAGCAGAAAAATGAAGTCTGCAGGCATGTTTCATTTAATCATGTGAGTGTATTTTGATATCTAGTGCAATTTAAATAGCGCAAAATCGAAATGAAAATGTTGAAAAGCATTCTTTTAAAGATGATTTTAAATAAAATATGGAATGAAAAAAAAAAATACAAGGAAAGCAAGACAAGTGACTGATAAGAATATATTATTTTTTGCATTTAAGTATCGTAAGTAAACTAAATAAATACTGTTTTGAAATAAGATATTGAATTATATTGTACAGGACCTGGAAACCAAGTTGGAAGAGGCCAAGAACCAAGCTGAACTACAGGCCTCTCTGGCCATGGGGACCAACACAGAGGTCAGTTAGTAGCACTTAAAGGGACTTGAAGGACAGAGTTCATCAGCATAAAATTACAACAATGTGTAGAATACACTGTCTTGAATACAGTGTATTACATTATCTTAAAAACACTTTCATATGAAATTAATCACTATTCCTAACATAATATTTTCTGTGGTCACAATGGCCACATAAACACTGGATATTTGTATAACTAGACATTAATATTCTTTGCTGTATCTGACCTTGAATAAGACCAGGAAGCCAACACATGCTCTCTGACAGAACTGCAATAGATACCAGTGGGCTTATTACCAGACCTGGCTGGATAAGTACAGTAGTTAAATTGATAATGTTAGCATCAGTAAAACATTGTTTGGGTGATTGTGTGAATGGAATTCCATTTACAAAGGTCAAGTTGCAATATGATGATGTAATGTAAATGTTTGTAAAAAAAAGTTGTCCGCACAAATATGCTTTGTTGTTGATTTAAGGCTACATGCTATCTTAACGAAAAATGCACCTCCCTTCAAAAGAGTTACAGTATCTTTTATGAATGACAATGTAGCCTTGGGTAATTAATGGAACATAGGAGCCAACTCTACTACACATCATACTAATAATGTGATGAGTGACATATACCCAGATGTATTTTTTGTGTGGCTATCTGTTGTTCTGCATAATGGTGCATGTGTAATGTTTGCATTGATAGGAATTGTCGGAGCAGATCACCCGTCTCCAGGCTCAGGGAACCAGTCAGGACACCGTCCTAGCCCAGGAAAAAGCTGCACACAGCAACACTAAGGATGAGTTGGAAAATCTCCGCAAACAGATGGACGTCTTAAGGGAGGAGATGAACAACGAGAAGGCTGACATTAGGGCTAAATTAGACAGCAACAACAAGACGTCTAAGGCCATCATGAAGGCCATGGAACAGGTATGATAGACACAATTCAATGACTCTTTGCTTTTGCATTGATAGGTATTAGTGCTATTTTCTCGTCTGAGTGAAAATCGGGATAACATTGATTGCAAAATCCACGTGTGGATTAAAAGAAAAGAAATAAAACCCATGAGACCAGCATGTGCCAGTCACACATCCTTGAAATACCAGGGCTTATGTTCTCTTATGTTCTCTGCATCCCTGAAATGTGACATGGCAAAATTTAAGGCACACAGTTAGCTGTTTGATAAAAAACTGACCAATCACCAGGCTGATGATAAAAAACTGACCAATCACTAGGCTGATGATAAAAAACTGACCAATCACCAGGCTGATGATAAAAAAACCTGACCAATCACCAGGCTGATGATAAAAAACTGATCAATCACCAGGCTGATGATAAAAAACTGACCAATCACCAGGCTGATGATAAAAAAACTGACCAACCACTAGGCTGATACATGTCCTTTGAAGATCACATAGGACTTCATCGTCGGATACCCATGGCTGATTTTGCTTTGGTACTCGCTCATCACAATGAGTGAGTACCGAAGCGAAATCAGCAGTGGGTATCCGACAATGACAGGACTTCAAATCTGGTCAGTTTTACTGTAATGCTGCAATGTGATTCTTCTTGATGTACACCAAAGGATCAAATTTGTCTACCGGTACTTGTATTGTCAACAAGGTGGCATTTAACAGAGCCTTTGATTTATTTATCATAGAGATTCCTTCAGTCAAAAAATACTCAAAAAGTATGCTCTTAGCTTAATATGTAAGGATAGATTGGATGAGGTCATTAGGTCAAGGGTCAATTCACTGCTGTTATAAATTAAATACAGTTCTCTGTAAACCTAAAAGTGCTCCGTCATATTTCTATTTTCATCATACATTCATCAATAACGAGTTGAATGAAGATATAATGGTTGCATTTGACCTTTGATGGATGATGTGTAAATATTTTTACCTATTTTAGGAACTTGACAAGTCAAAGACTAGAATTGATGAGTTAGAGAAGGAGAGACTGGCCAATGTACCGATGGACACAGCCAAGGAAATAAAGAATCTGCAAACCAAGATTGTAAGTTACATTCACTTTATGTTATTAATAGCATAAATCAAATTTAAAAGTATCAAAGGTTTTCATGTATTGATATTGAATTTTTCCATTTTCACTTACAAATATGACACTTTAATTTATGAGATGGGACACTTGGAAATTCAAATTTCGAGATTAAGTAAGGAATATATATCAATAATAGTTATTCATTTTGGAAAGTCATATCCTGGAGGATATTTGAGAAAATCAATAGACTTCATTTACCCGCATTAACTTGATTACAGTACTATTTGTATTGAGTATTAAACTATTACCTTATTGCAGTATTATCGTGGTAACAGTAATATTTGTATTGCATTAAGTTAGATTCTCTCTTCGAATACTACAGGAATCAAATGTACAAGGTCATAAATATTATAAAGAGGATCTAAAACAGAGTTATTTAATGTGATTATAATAAATCAAGCTTCAGAGAGTTTAATTACTATTATGTGGAATGGAAAACTGAGATTCGTTCTATGATGCTCGCCACAAAATTACCAAAAATGATACAAAAATAAACTAGAGATGTTGATAGAAAATCAAGCATTTTTGCATTTGCTGCAATTTCATGACATCAGATTGTTCCTTGAGACTTCAGTTTGGATTCTATATAAATATTTCATGTGGTGGTGTTATCTCTCTGTATGGGGATTAATATATGATAAAGAATTGTGTTATATTTACTTATCAGGCAGCCCTTGAGAAGGAGAAGTCAGCCTCTGGTACGACAGCTGTTGGTCTTACTGGTCAGATGTCTGAGCTACAGACAAAGCTGGACAGTGCTAATAAAAACCTGGAGACCCAACGAGCTGCTAATAGGGACCTAGAGGTCAGTTAAAATTTCTTCTCACTATTAATAAAAACCTGGAGACCTAACGAGCTGCTAATAGGGACCTAGAGGTCAGTTAAACTTTCTTCTCACTATTAATAAAAACCTGGAGACCCAACGAGCTGCTAATAGGGACCTAGAGGTCAGTTAAAATTTCTTCTCACTATTAATAAAAACCTGGAGACCTAACGAGCTGCTAATAGGGACCTAGAGGTCAGTTAAACTTTCTTCTCACTGTTAATAAAAACCTGGAGAGCCAACGAGCTGCCAATAGGGACCTAGAGGTCAGTTAAACTTTCTTCTCACTATTAATACAAACCTGGAGAGCCAACGAGCTGCTAATAGGGACCTAGAGGTCAGTTAACCTTGCTTCTCACTGTTAATAAAAACCTGGAGAGCCAACGAGCTGCTAATAGGGACCTAGAGGTCAGTTAACCTTGCTTCTCACTGTTAATAAAAACCTGGAGAGCCAACGAGCTGCCAATAGGGACCTAGAGGTCAGTTAAACTTTCTTCTCACTATAAATAAAAACCTGGAGAGCCAACGAGCTGCTAATAGGGACCTAGAGGTCAGTTAAACTTTCTTCTCACTGTTAAAAAAAACTTGGAGAGTCAAAGAGCTGCTAATAGGGACCTAGAGGTCAGTTTAACTTTTTTCTCACTGTTAAAAAAAACTTGGAGAGTCAAAGAGCTGCTAATAGGGACCTAGAGGTCAGTTAAACTTTCTTCTCATTATTAACAATAGAATCTTTATGAAACTTTGTTCCTCAAGGCTCAAACAATCTACTTTTATGCTTGGGATTAAGTGTCGTCAGGGAGCAGCCTTTTCAATGAATTAAGATTGCTAATAAAACGGGAGTGTCTCTGTTCAGTTCAATCATAACTTGTTGGTATAACAATTTCTAGATAAACAACACTACAGACCTAACAAAAATGGCCATTTCATCAATGTGAAAAGTTTTCTTTTGGAGGGTGGGTTGGTGTGGGGTGGGGGGTTCCTTATCAGTATGAAAACAATGTTTTGATGACTTGTACAGTACATACCCTGTCACCTTCATCAGACAAATGACCAGTGAAACGTATGTACATGTACACAAGAGTGTAAAATATGTATGAGTTGGCAATATACATGTATGAAATGAAGAATTAAACCGACAGTAGTAAATTATTGTTGAACACATTACATAAAAACAGTAATTTTGTTTAGAGGCAATATTATATATACTTTCATCACCTCAGTTTAACTCGATACATCTTCACCACAGACTAAATGTAAGTTAAACTTGATATACCTTCACCACAGACTAAATGTAAGTTAAACTTGATATATCTTCACCACAGACTTAATGTAAGTTTAACTTGATATATCTTCACCATAGACTAAATGTAAGTTAAACTTGATCTATCTTCACCACAGACTTAATGTAATTTTAACTTGATCTATCTTCACCACAGACTTAATGTAAGTTTAACTTGATCTATCTTCACCATAGACTAAATGTAAGTTAAACTTGATCTATCTTCACCACAGATTTAATGTAAGTTTAACTTGATCTATCTTCACCATAGACTAAACGTAAGTTTAACTTGATATATCTTCACCACAGACTAAATGTAAGTTTAACTTGATATATCTTCACCACAGACTTAATGTAAGTTTAACTTGATATATCTTCACCACAGACTTAATGTAAGTTAAACTTGATATACCTTCACCACAGGCTAAATGTAAGAATGCTAAACTGGAAAAAGACAAGTCAGTGAGAGATGCGGTGTCGGTACAGGAGAAAAAAGATCAGTCCAGGATGAACGACGACAAGAAAAGGATTGCTGCTCTGGAGAAACGGATCAAGGAGCTAGAGTCGGCCGGAGTAAAACCAGGCGTAAGTACTAGCACTTACAATAGGGGTAACATTTGGGCCCCATTACTAATAGCAATGAAATGATCTTCCTACTTAATTTGTTAAAGCAAAAAGGCAAAAAACGTACAGATGTCTTATCTATTAAACTTTTTCAAGAGTGCATTGAAATTACTAACACAGTCACCATGCATATAGAAATTTAGAATTATGATAAATTCATGAATTACTGAATAATTATGCACCCGTCGAAATCCCCACGATAACAAAAATCCACGAAATTAAATCCCCACAAAAACATAAATTTGGTATGATATAGATAGGGGAAAATCAGAAATCAGCAAAATATAATGTCCTTGAAACAGGCTAGTATATGAAAACCTTGAAATTTCAACCCCATGAAAATAAATGATTCTACAGGAAAGCGTCTGCGTCCGTCCGTCTGGTTAAAGTTTTGGTGCAAGTTTCTTCAGTGGTTTACAGTTCAGTCAGATCATGTGTTATTGTCCTAATTTTTAGCATGGATGTTCATGTGGGGTCTAACAAGGACAATATGGATTTAATTTGGGAAAATATTTTTTATCACATAGACATGACACTAGCTTCCAGGTACTTTAAATATCAAACAAACAAAAAATGATGGAATAGGGTCAGACGGGCGTATTATGCATTCGTTTGCGTTGCCCTTGTTTTGTTTAATGTTAATGAAATTGACACTGGAACAAGGCTTACAGGAAAATAAAGTGATGATTAGGGTTTTCAAATATCTGCATTTGAAAAACCTTAATCAATATTTGCCTTTTTTAACCCCGTATTAAGATAAAGCTTCAATAAACATGTCTCTCTCTTTTTTAAAGAAGAGTTAATTGCTACTAATAGTGGATGTTTTAAGATATTTATAGATTCATTATGTAAACATCATAAAGGTTTATGAAATGAGATAGGGTTTTTTCTCCAACACAAGCTATATAGAGATGCTACCAGCATTGTGTGCTTCCAATTTTGACAGATGAAATGCTTCTTTGATTTACAATTGTTATGTAACAATTCAATTGTCACATCCCAATAGTAATTCAATGGTGTCATATTGATTGCTTGTTCATTTTGTCTTTATTAGGTCGTTGCTGCTGTTGGGGTAAGTGGCTGTGTTTTCACTTTGATTAAGCACTTTATAACTATGAGGGTTATCTCCCTTAAGGATATATGCTACCTTACACTTTATACCTGTGCTATGCGTTAGGAATATTTCCCTTAAGGATATATGCTACCTTACACTATATACCTGTGATATGTGTTAGGGTTATCTCCCTTAAGGATATTTGCTAACTAACACTTTATAGCTGTGATACATATTACAATTATCTACCTTAAGGATATATGCTACCTTACACTTCATACCTGTGATATGTGTTAGTGCTATCACCCTTAAGGATATATGCTACCTAGCACTTTATACCTGTGATATGTTTTATGGTTATCCCCTTCAAGGATATATGCTACCTAACACTTTATACCTGTGATATGTGTTAGTGCTATCGCCCTTAAGGATATATGCTACCTAGCACTTTATACATGTGATATGTTTTATGGTTATCCCCTTCAAGGATATATGCTACCTAACACTTTATTCCTGTGATATGTGTTAGGGTTATCGCCCTTAAGGATATATGCTTCCTTTCACCTTATACCTGTGAAATGTGTTAGTGCTATCTCCCTTATGGATATTTGCTACCTTACACTTTATACCTGTGATATGTGTTAGGGTTATCTCCCTAAAGGATATTTGCTACCTAACACTTTATAGCTGTGATATGTGTTACTGTTATCTCCCTTAAGGATATATGCTACCTAACACTTTATACCTGTGATATGTGTTAGTGCTATCCCCCTTAAGGATATATGCTACCTAACACTTTATACCTGTGATATGTGTTAGGGTTATCCCCCTCAAGGATATATGTTACCTTACACTTTATACCTGTGAAATGTGTTATGGTTAACCCCCTCAAGGATATATGCTACCTTACACTTTATACCTGTGATATGTGTTAGTGCTATCTCTCTTAAGGATGTATGCTACCTTACACTTTATACCTGTGATATGTGTTAGTGCTATCACCCTTAAGGATATATGCTACCTTACACTTTATACCTGTGATATGTGTTAGGGTTATCCCCCTTAAGGATATATGCTACCTTACACTTTATACCTGTGATATGTGTTAGGGCTATCTCCCTTAAGGATATATGCTACCTTACACTTTATACCTGTGATATGTGTTAGTGCTATCTCCCTTAAGGATATATGCTACCTTACACTTTATACCTGTGATATGTGTTAGTGCTATCTCCCTTAAGGATATATGCTACCTTACACTTTATACCTGTGATATGTGTTAGTGCTATCTCCCTTAAGGATATATGCTACCTTACACTTTATACCTGTGATATGTGTTAGGGTTATCTCCCTTAAGGATATTTGCTACCTAACACTTTATAGCTGTGATATGTGTTACGGTTATCTCCCTTAAGGATATATGCTACCTTACACTTTATACCTGTGATATGTGTTAGGGTTATCTCCCTTAAGGATATATGCTACCTTACACTTTATACCTGTGATATGTGTTAGTGCTATCACCCTTAAGGATATATGCTACCTTACACTTTATACCTGTGATATGTGTTAGGGTTATCCCCCTTAAGGATATATGCTACCTTACACTTTATACCTGTGATATGTGTTAGTGCTATCTCCCTTAAGGATATATGCTACCTTACACTTTATACCTGTGATATGTGTTAGTGCTATCTCCCTTAAGGATATATGCTACCTTACACTTTATACCTGTGATATGTGTTAGTGCTATCTCCCTTAAGGATATATGCTACCTTACACTTTATACCTGTGATATGTGTTAGTGCTATCTCCCTTAAGGATATATGCTACCTTACACTTTATACCTGTGATATGTGTTAGTGCTATCTCCCTTAAGGATATATGCTACCTTACACTTTATACCTGTGATATGTGTTAGTGCTATCTCCCTTAAGGATATATGCTACCTTACACTTTATACCTGTGATATGTGTTAGGGTTATCTCCCTTAAGGATATATGCTACCTTACACTTTATACCTGTGATATGTGTTAGTGCTATCACCCTTAAGGATATATGCTACCTTACACTTTATACCTGTGATATGTGTTAGGGTTATCCCCCTTAAGGATATATGCTACCTTACACTTTATACCTGTGATATGTGTTAGTGCTATCTCCCTTAAGGATATATGCTACCTTACACTTTATACCTGTGATATGTGTTAGGGTTATCTCCCTTAAGGATATATGCTACCTTACACTTTATACCTGTGATATGTGTTAGTGCTATCTCCCTTAAGGATATATGCTACCTTACACTTTATACCTGTGATATGTGTTAGGGTTATCTCCCTTAAGGATATATGCTACCTTACACTTTATACCTGTGATATGTGTTAGTGCTATCACCCTTAAGGATATATGCTACCTAACACTTTATACCTGTGATATGTGTTAGGGTTATCCCCCTTAAGGATATATGCTACCTTACACTTTATACCTGTGATATGTGTTAGGGTTATCTCCCTTAAGGATATATGCTACCTTACACTTTATACCTGTGATATGTGTTAGTGCTATCACCCTTAAGGATATATGCTACCTAACACTTTATACCTGTGATATGTGTTAGGGTTATCCCCCTTAAGGATATATGCTACCTTACACTTTATACCTGTGATATGTGTTAGGGTTATCTCCCTTAAGGATATATGCTACCTTACACTTTATACCTGTGATATGTGTTAGTGCTATCACCCTTAAGGATATATGCTACCTAACACTTTATACCTGTGATATGTGTTAGGGTTATCCCCCTTAAGGATATATGCTACCTTACACTTTATACCTGTGATATGTGTTAGGGTTATCTCCCTTAAGGGTATATGTTACCTAACACTTTATACCTGTGATATGTGTTAGTGCTATCTCTCTTCAGGATATATGCTACCTTACACTTTATACCTGTGATATGTGTTAGGGTTATCCCCCTCAAGGGTATATGTTACCTAACACTTTATACCTGTGATATGAGTAATAGATATCTTCCTTAAACAAAAATTATTCAACCTTTTTTATAAATTCAGATCTACCTGGGTGTTATCATGATTAGAGTATTCACTCATAACCTTTCCAGTAGGTAATCAATTAACTATTACCATTTACAAATGGCTCCTAACACATTTTTGTGGAACTCTTTTAAAAAGGAGATTCATTCATGTGTCTTACGTCCTTAATTCATTATTACAAATAAAAGGACCTGGTAACAGACAAAAGCCTATATTAGTTATTTACATTCTAATTACAGTAATGAACATTGTTATGATTATCATATTCATTTTCACGATGGTCATTTGTTCACATTCTATCAGATTATGGATTGAATTTAAGTCCAAATAGTTTAAAGATAATTGTTATGTAAAGTGGATCTGCTTGGTTATAAAAGTACACGAAATTGGAAATTGTGTTGATTTCTGTTGATGTACATTTCTCAAAATCTAAATCTTAATCATAACAGTGAACAGAATACCTAACCTATTTTGTAATTACCTGAAGTACAATTGCAGTGTTTACTTTAGTACTATACTAAATTTACATCTATATATGTGTGTGTGTGTAGTTACCTGTATCCTAAGGGGAATATTTACCTGCATGACCTGTGTTTTGTATTTACCTGTAGGGTAAGGGTGGTAATACTGAGGCTGCAGTGAAGGCTATGCGAGAACAGGTGATCAAACTTAAACAGGAGAACAATGAGCTGAACACGCGTATCAAACAAGTGGAATTGGATATGAAGCGAGGTGGTCGACCAGGGACTGCTGCTGCTGGAGGACTGGCAGAAGATGTGAGTAAATTGTTTACCAAGCAGGGTGGTGGTGGGCAGTGTCAGCAAACATTAACCCCCAGGGTGGTGGGGGGCAGTGTCAGCAAACATTAACCCCCAGGGTGGTGGGGACAGACAGTGTCAGCAAACATTAATCCCCAGGGTGATTGGACAGACAATTTTAGCAAAGCATTAATCCCCAGGGTGGTGGGGGCAAACAATGTCAGTAAAGCATTAACCTCCAGGGTGGTGGGGACAGACAATGTCAGTAAAGCATTAACCTCCAGGATGGTTGGGACAGACAATGTCAGTAAAGCTTTAATCCCCAGGGTGGTGGGGACAGACAATGTCAGTAAAGCTGTAATCCCCAGGGTGGTGGGGACAGACAATGTCAGTAAAGCATTAACCTCCAGGACGGTGGGGACAGACAATGTCAGTAAAGCATTAATCCCCAGGGTGGTGGGGACAGACAATGTCAATAAAGCATTAACCCCCAGGATGGTGGGGACAGACAATGTCAGTAAAGCTTTAATCCCCAGGGTGGTGGGGACAGACAATGTCAATAAAGCATTAACCCCCAGGATGGTGGGGACAGACAATGTCAGTAAAGCTTTAATCCCCAGGGTGGTGGGGACAGACAATGTCAATAAAACATTAACCCCCAGAGTGGTGGGGACAGACAATGTCAGTAAAGCATTAACCTCCAAGGTGTTGGGGGGGGGAATACAACGTAAATGAAGCATTAATCCCCAGGATGGTAAGGACAGGCAATTTGAGTTAAGTATTAATCCCTTGACATGTGTTTTGTATGTATTTCAGAAAAACGCACAGAAGAGAAATGAAAAGATCCTGAAAGAACTTGAAAAGAGAGTTGAAATAGAGAAGAATAAAAGCACGAAACTGGATGAAAACCTGAAAACCACTGAAGAGGAGCTCAAAGTAACAAAGAAGGCAAGTGATAAGTTACTTAATATCTTCTCAAGTATTCTTTTGTCCCTTTATAAAAAAAATGGTATTTTCCCTGTAATCTTTCTTATTTACTAAGAAAATTACTACTTTTCGCTTACATTTTTACCTGAAATATGTCTTCCTTTTATGCATGTTGTATATCATATTTTAATTCCTCTCCAGAGCTTTATTTTGTATGTATCAGTTGATACCTTTGTACACCTCCCCCAAATTAGTTATGGTGGTATACTGGCATCAGGTTTTCAATCTATCTTTCTGTTGGCACACGAATGCTGTTCATCCTAGAGTATTGGACTAATTATAAATTAAACTTCGCACGAATCCTTCCTGTTACATAAACCATGGCGCCATGTTGTTTCTGTGACATTAAAAGAGTTATTACCCTTTATTTGCCTCTTTAAAGTCTTCTCAAGTTTGCTACTCTTATAGTGTTTTATGCAATTCAATGAAACTTAACAAACATCTTCCCTTTCATATTTACCTCTGCATGTGTTGTTTCACTCTCTTTTTAAAGAGTTATTGCCCTTGACGGTTATGAAATTTATTTTCGCGGGTCATTTTTATGCTTGTCTGTTTATTCTGCAGATCATATTTTCAAGATCACACTATTGACCCACAGAATCGGGAAAATAATATTTCCACGGAAATATCCTGCTAAATGGCAAACGGTTTGTGTTTCTGTAGGAATGTGACACTGTTGTCTTGTGTCTTTTCTATAGGAGTGTAATAATAATGTGTTGTACATTTTCATAGGAGCGTGACAACAATGTCAATGAACTGAAGAAGGTGAAGTTGGAGTTGGACACGCTAGGTATGGCTGCTAAAGAGGGAGTAGAGGCTGCAACTAAGGTCAAGGCCTTGGAGAAGGATAACAGGAAACTAGGGGAAGAAAACAAGACCCTCACAGAAAACTACAACTCAGAGAGGGTAAGTTATCTGTACAAAGCTCTCACAGAGCGCTACAACTCAGAGAGGGTAAGTTATCTGTACAAAGCTCTCACAGAGCGCTACAACTCA